GCCGCTTCCAATCATGAGGGATATCTGCTTAGTAGGGAGCCGATGGGTCAGCAGACAGTTGGTTAACCATCTTCATGATGCCCATGGATAAGTGCCGTAGAGCGGGCAACTCAATTCAATTCATCCTTTGACAAAATTCTCAGCGAGGAACGATGATGAGTATGGAGTGCTCTGTGTCTGCGAGCTCCTGAAGAACATGCTTCCGAAGGATCTATCGGCGAACGGCAGCACTGCGCTGTTTCATCGGAACCGTTCTGCAAGCGAACCTTGCAATCATATTGCATCAAGATCTCGCGGTCGGCGTTCTGCGAGTGGAATTCTGACCGTCTCCGGGATTTGACTCGACGAATGAAGATCAATCGGCCCTTTGTCGTTGGTGTGCACTGCCTGCATGTAGCTTCGGGCTCCCTCTTCCTCTTTTATAACCAGTTTTTCCGCAATGGCTGCTAGCATCTCACTGTCACAGATCCCTTCCCGCCTTTTGATGGTCTTTAACAAACCTAAAGACTTGTGTCGAATATCCGGCTCTCGACACCTCGTTGCTGCCATGTAAAGATGCGACACGATTCCAAGGTTCATGGAAAGAACAGGCTCAGTATGATGGTCTTGCTTTGGGGCGGGAGCACCGTGTCTGTTATCTTCGCAGGTGATTTCCACACCTTGAGATGGCCTTCTGGGTCTGGAGTCCTGTAGCATCCTCTGCACTATCTCGTCCCCAATAACGAGCAATTCTCTGAATTTGTCTGTGAACAGGTCGAAGACCATCTCATTGTATTCCAGGCATGTGCTCAGAATTAAATCGAGAGCAATCCTCGAGGCTTTGAGGGTTAGTACGGCAAGGTCGTGACTTCGTTTCCTTTGCATCATGCGCTCAAAAGCGATTCCCCATTCGCTGAAGTGCTGTCGAAGCACTTGGTATCTTTCGTCGAAATCCTGGAGACATCCATTGGGTGAATGGTACACTCTTTTCGCGGTTTGGACATTGCGCACAAAGTGCAGTACCTGATAACGGCACATTTCGAAGGACGACCGGGCCTCATCCGTATCAGTGAATGTGGCAGGCACAGGACTGACTGAGGTAATCGCAAAGGCGGGAGGCGCTTGGAACCCATCCTTCCCAAACTCCATGACCTGGGTGTCTAGTCTCAAGTACATTTGGACTAGGAGATCCCTCGGCAGGTAGTATTCGGGCGTGTCTTCAGAGCGACGAGCCAACTCTGCTAATATCTTCATGCCAGAGTATATGTGACTCAAGGAAGAGACAAAGTGTTTTCGGAGAATCTCGATGCAGGCGAAGAGGACTGATACAGTCAACGCAACATCAACCGCCCGTGCTGATTTGCGTGTATCGAGTTTAACCACATGCTGCATAGCTCTGCCGTAGTGCTGCATAGCAAATGCAAGCAGAGAGGGATCTGCAGATGGGGAAGGACGCAGGAAGAGTTCATGTAGACCGCCGATGGATATCACCGCGTGCTTGATAGCGTCTTCATGGTGCGCCGTGGTCAAAACGAATCTAGACCACAACTCAGGGCGGAAGTATCCTGCCAATTCACCAGCTGTTCGGTTCTGAAAGAAATTGAAAGACCGCTTTTCCCTCCAATCCATGTTTGGAAGAGAGGTGATTGAGTAAGGAGGATCCGGGACGTAGACAACGAACGTCTGTCCCTCTCTGTTCGGCTTTTTGCTTCGGACCAGATCGACATAGCCTTTGCATTCTCGTTTGCTTCGAATGCATCTCTGACAGTGTGGTCGCCCCTCGTCGCACTTTATGTGTCTCTGCCTTTCGAACAATCATCAGTATCCAGCCGGCCCCCGTGCAAATGCCCCGATGGACTGACGTACTTGCATGTAACACAACCGCTGCGAACCTTGCTGCCTCCAATTCGAGCCAGTTTTGGTGTAGCCATTGCCAACCCCTGGTTGTCCCAGTCCACGCCGATACTCAACTGCAAGGCTGACAAAGTTCAAAGGGAGAAAGTATGTGACAGTTGCGCGCCGGATACGAGGATGATAAACCTCTCTTCTTAGGAATTCCGACGGAACACCCAAGTCGTTCTTATGCTGCTAAAAGATTACGACCTTGTTGGTGTCTCGAGACTCCATTCCGCTCGAGGCAGACGGTCTGCCCTAGGCCTCTTCTCTTTGGCAGTAAATCAGCCGTTCTCAGCCTCATCATCGCGGCGTGTCGTTCGATGCTCCACGTGCTGTTGATCCAGATCAAAGCTTCGGACAATGGTGTAGGGCGGAATGGAAGAAGGAGGGTGAGTAATAGGCGTCGCGCAAAATTAGCTTCATTTGGTTGGTCTCTTACGAGCCGATCTTCAGCTCTTTGATGGTGGAGACGGTGTTTGCATTGGGCAACACGCCCAAGAGTGGACCAAGGTTATCTCCCTCGCCCTCTGTTAGCAAGTGTCCGAGAAGGGGAATATTTGGTCGAGGTCTTACACATGTTCCACTCAACATACGCGTCCCGCTTCAAAAGTCACTTCTCTGGACCCTGTGATGCCGCCATTATGACCGTGGGCGGGCTGATTTCCGAGACGTTTGGCTCTGAGATGCGGTGAGTGGCAGGCTGCAGCCATAGGGCCAGGAGTATGCATCTCGAAGGGACCCAGATAACAGTTTGATTGTGCACGATGGACTTTGTCTTAGGTGATGGATGGTAAGGCGAGATCAAGTGAATGTGGGGGACGGATTTTGTCCATTAAGATTCAAAGGCGATGACGACTACATAGCAGGCTATTTTAGAATCAGTGGGACTCGTCTCTCGACAAATGTTGTTCTTCGTGTAGGTATGGCCGTTATTCCCTTATGGCTGAGCTCGCTCCCCATGGAAGGTCTTCAGTTCACCCTACACACAACAGTAGGTCCTCCTCCACTTGGCGGTGCAAGAATTCAGGTGTAATATGGCAAAGGGCGTTGGCATCTTCATCCAGTCGACGGCCCCTTTGACGTGAAGGCTCCTTAGTCCTCTGTTACCACCAGCGAGCACCGCCCCAATCCGGAGGGACTATCATTGATATTCTCAAACGTCGAGGTTTTCTTTGCACTTTACGACTAAACCAATTCAGAAGCAAGCACCTCAAATGGAGCGACCATCGCTCGACCGATGTCTAGCGGTCTCTAACACATGGATTTCAAGGGTACTTTGTTTTCCGTCGTGTTATTGAATGGCATCAATCGGGGTCCTTGCACCACCGACAAACTATTTCGGGAAGCGGACTGTCCAGACCTAGTCCGGTTGTGCTGTCTGAATATGGGGAAATAGGTCTACTCGGTACAAGGACATAATAAACATGATACCCAGCAAAGCAAGAAGCTGTGCACGCCCGATGCTTGGCTGGTCATTTACCGCAGGTTCGCCCTGCTTCCTTCCAACTTCAGACACCGACTGCTAGAAAGTCAATCTCGCGAATTCCAGCCAACCTTACCTACGGCGGGCACGAGGTCGGAATACCCTTGTTGACTTTCCAGAATGCTGTCTTCCGTCTGCATTTCTATGGCCGGACAGTCAACTCATGCGAGAGCGTGCAGCCCTTGAGGTGTAAGGTGGCCCGCATGACGAAGGGGAGGAAAGGGAATGGACCAGCAGGCGCCAAGGGGAGTTGCCAGAGGTGACACATACATGGATGAGCAGGCCCGTCATGCCCTCTACAGGTGACGGTTTTCTTTTTCGCTCAGAGTGGTCTACCCGGTTTGCATTGTGATTGTTCGGAATCCACATTCCAATATACCACATGACTCGCTTCAGCACACGGCCCGTTTCCATTTCCGAGCGCACGAGGAGGGACACCGACCATCGAATCTTCCCGGGGTTGAACTGCAAAGCATGACCGGTATTCAATTGTTCACTTGGCACAGTCGAACCAAGAAGACCCTGGTGGTCTGGCCTTCGTGCGCTGCACGGACTCGACGTCGCCAACGAACCCAGGCGCCGACCCTAACACCAACCTAGGCGCATGAAAGCACCGTTTTGAGCGACGCAAGACCATATGCTTGTCTCTCCCGGATACGGGTCATACAAAGGTCTGCCAAGATTCAAAGCGGTCATGTGGGTGGCGCTCGACGAGAGGTGGGAGAGGGAACAGGGATAGCAAGAACAGTCATACGATGAACTTGTCGTAGTATGGCCCGATAAAAGGGCCAGAAGAGAGAGGGTATGCGTTGGCACAGGCTTCTCGCTGTTATTGCATCTACCAGGCCAACGTGCGACACTTGGAGCTTGGAGACAAAACTGAGGGCAGAAATCAAGTTTAGAGGCGCTAATTCTAAAGCTGAAGACGATCGAGGCAGGAACAACGTAGAAAAGAGTGCAATTGATTCATTCTGCACTCGGAATTGGTCACGGCTGAACCGTAGCCTTTCCTTCCACCAGAAGGCAGCATCGTGCCGCCGACATCCCGTCCATTCATATTTCGCTGACTGAAAAGCGATGACAACGCCCGGCATGAGTCGCCTAGACTGCTCCAGTCCAATTACTTCACCTGCACAATTCCCACCAGCATCGGTAGGATAACCGAGTGCACTCCACAAAGCCTTGCGCCAATGAACGCCGTAAAGCCTGGTCAGTAGAAGTTGTTGTACAAGAATGGCGAAGGCGCCTGCTAATGACCCCATGGGATCGAGAAAATAGATTTGCTCCTGGCCTTCCTGCTGCTGCTGCTGCGGCTGATGATGATGATAATGATGATAGTGATGATGATAATCAAGTCTACTCTTTCTGCGTCTGGTGCGTAGCCAGCCTGTTAAAATGGGCGTGGGTATCATAAAAGGACATGTGGACTGATTGGCAAAACAAGAACTCGTCCACCCGTAAGTCTCTCCTCGTCTCTTGCGTATACTGAGAACGATGAGACCTAGCAGTTCTTCCGTTGTTCGTTTCTTTTTTTTTTTCCACCCAATCGCCATGCTTGTGATGGAAAAGAGCAGACGTCGTTCGCTGGCCAACAGGGTCAAGGGGAAATAAACAGATATCGAGGTGTGGTAAAGGTCGTTGTTCATCGTTTGCCCTTCTTCTTGCTGCTGGTGCTTGCACTTCGGCCGAGATTGTCTCTCGACATTGTTCTTGTCAAGCCACCGATGTAATCCTGCAGGAAGCGGTTCTCGGTCTCGAGCTTGTCGTGATCATTCTTGACCTCATCGATCTTTTCCGCCAGTGCGGCGAGTGAGGACTGTAGGTTTCGCGCTTGTCTACAGAGTTGAGTTAGTACGGGAAGCACTTCATGGGAGCGATGTCTCCTACTCTTTCAACGTCTCGCGAAGACCACGCTCTATCCTCTCAATGTCCTCACTGTTGCGTCGTGGACTCATTGCTCGGGCGTCATCCGGAGGGTATTCGGGCCTTTCTCGTTGAACAACGTCTCGACCCTTGGGTACAATAATGGTGTTGGATCTCTGTCTGTCACCCAGTCGAGGTCTTTCCATCCGCGTTCGTCGCGACGCTGGCCGAGGGGAGGTAGGCTGCGGAAAGTCCGACTCCGAGGAGGACGAAGCACCACTTGATATCGGGGGGGATACAGACGGGCGGTGTGTTATGTCTGCTGGTTCGTGCCCAGTCATAGAGACTGGTTGAGGGAATGTTGCCGTAGCCGTGGGCGATGATGGGGAGCTGTGCATCTGGCGTTGGCCAGTCTTGAAGTATTTGTTACCGACGCTCGAATTGTGTCGGTTGTTTTCCCAATCTTGCTTGACCAACGTTCTGGAGTCGCCAAATGACGCATTGGCCTTATGCGCGATCCAAGACGAGCGCACTGACCTAGGTCCAGCGCCAGCCCTAAGGTATTCTGAGCATCCAAAGCGGTTGCACCTGCTCAGGTGGTATGAGCCAGAGATGCAGTGGTTTGGCGGGAAGGGAAGGCTGTGCGGACGAATTTGGGGCAGTAGGAAAACGCCGAGGCTGGGCTTGGAGTGGGTTGACGAAGTATTTGGGCCCTGGGGGTTAGGAGGGCACGGTTTTCACAGAGGGAGGGACGATGGGAGGGTTACTGGGTCGCAACCAGGGTCGGTGAGGTGAGCGAAGTGGAAGGAGACTGGCGGAGGGTGAGTGTCGCGGATGGTTGGATGGTGGATAAGATGATCGTCAGAGGGCAAAGCCAACTGCTAGGGAAGCAAATGGGCTCCCTGTCGCCCAAAAGCGGAACTTGAAAAGTCAAACTCGAAAAGCCTGAGGTGTCCTTGTGGTGCTTGGTTGTCCTGGGTACAGAGCTGCGGTCAGTCTTCAGCCGGATAAGAATCTCCTCGTTGGAGCAACGCGGCTGAGTGGTGAGGAGCGCTGGGTTTTGTGGATCTGGATAACCTGTCCCACGGATTGCTTGGGCAAGTTACGTCGTCAAGCCGAGCCTTCGGTGGACCATGGCGGATTGATCAACAACGGCGTTGCCTCCTAAGAGTCCGAGATTGCCAACTCGCCAGCCTTCGAGTGGGCTGTTTGGGATTGGATGACACGCTGGGTGCTTGGATTTCTTTTGTTCGGTGGAGGAGTTTCACAGAGAAGGCGAGGGTTGGAGTCGCGCGTGTTTCAGTCGCTCCTTCTCAGTGGCAGGAGTAGGAGTGTCCTTTCTATATCACGAATCCATCACTGGGGGTGATTTTGGGGCGATGTTACAGCAAGCGTCAAGAGAGGAGAAAACGATGGCGGCCGCGACCACGAGGTGGTGGCGTGCAAAGGGTCACAGTTGAAGGCAGAAGGCAAATAAATGATGATGATGATGATGATGATGATGATGGCAACCTTGCGCGTGGGAATGGAATGGCGCAAGGCTGTTTGTCCAGAGAAAGCAACGTGGTAAAAGGAGGCCGCAGACAACGGGCAGGTTAACGGGCAAGTGACGGGCACCACTGACTACTTCTGGTGCCCCCCAAAGCCGAAGCCGGGCAACAAAAAGAAGACCCCTGGGGGCTGGGGGGAGGGGGGGGCCGGCACACACGAATATTTGACGAACGGATAGCCGGGAACGGCACTACCTAGAGTAAGGCAAGCGAAAGATGGGGAGCGGCCAAGAGGAATGGGACGGAAGGCGGGCCTAGGGAGCCGCTTGTGCAAGGGGGAGCCTCTCAAATGATTGTTAAAGCTAGTTAGACAAGGTCCGCTATACCCTCTAAGGTTTAACTATAATGTTTAGCTGCCACGGCGGCCTGTAAATATTCCTGCGGCTTGACGTCGTTGATCACTCACTCCCTCGTCCCGATCGACATCATATCCCCTAACCGAGGTCGCCATCGGCCGAGAGTCATCCCGACATTCAATTTACTTCCTTCCAATTCCAAGCAGTCCAGCAGTCTTATTATCGCACGCAATTCTCTCGATAAAAATCATCTGGTGCCGCCGGGCGGCGGCGTAAGTGGGAGCCCGCCAGGGTGGTTCAGACAGCCCTCCTTAGGCGCCAAAATGATGTCAACACCTGCCCCGACCTCCTCCAACCAATCCCTCCGTGAAATTCGACTTGACCTCAAAACAATCTGCCTCTTTCAATCCCTCGTCGAGTCAAGTCTTGGACTTCCGGAGAGTCACCGAGTGGGGTTGAGTTGTGGGATGGTGACATACCAGCATCCGAGAAAGATCGACACTCTTAGTTTGCTCGCTGGTTGAATAACCGCTGGAGATTCGGATATTTTCAAGAATCATTGGTGTCACCTGAGGTATGTAGGCTGACCTGGCCTGCTACTCGACCCTATAGCGCTGCTTGAGAGTCGCCTGAAGCCCGTACTGCAGGCACACTACAACAAATGGAGGGACGGGGCCTAATTATCCAAAAGACTTGCGTGGTGTCAGCCCGCCAATCGTTCTTCGAGAGTGTTCATAAGCCTTTAGAGACGATCAGAATGAACACGCCCTGCGGCTTGGACGATGGCACCAGACATCGTAGCAAGGGAGAAAGTGGCGCTAACGACCCCAACGTCTTTCGCGCCCCGTAATTCTGGAAGCAAGATAGCCCTTGTCCCGCTATCCGTCGAGCCCATGTCCTTTCCGTCAACACGAGACCCCCCTATGCAGGGTCCGCGTTTACTCCGAGACGTGGAGACCCTGCGTCGACCAGATACGAGTATATTAAGAGGGGTTCCTCCTCAGCGTTTCATGCGGTTGTTCAAGGATGAGTGTCGGTTGCCGTGTTGTAGACCAACCACGGTTGCAAAACAGAAGGGCATCACACAGTCTGTTTTGTTAAGCTTGCCCCAAACCGCCAGGATCAAAGATATTCTTCGTCCTGAGGAATTTCTGTTGCAGAAGACGAAAAGCGACAAGCCTGGGAGGCGCACAACTACGTCATCCATCATTGGGGCGGCACCAGCGGATTGCTTTTTCGGTCGAAGGATCGCCCTCTAACAATCCGTGGTGTTTCACCAGGCCACCGAGCCTCACTTCTGATTGACTCCCAACAGTCAGAACAGACCACATCTCAGAGGCTTAAGTGAGAAAATCTTCGCCCTCAGGAACCGAGGCTGCTCCCGGGCGGTAATATCTTGTGGCTTCTCTCATCTCCAATGGCATTGTACGACAACAATGAGTTCAAGTAATGTAATCCCTAGCATACACTTTATTTTATGGATTCTGAGGGGACAACGCCCGTTGGTGATGTGCTGGTGGTCTGGTAAATCCCTAATCTTTGCAATTTGCGGTTTTGACCGGGAAGATGAAGATCATCTGCCTAGTTACAAGTAATCCCCATTTGTTCCCGAAGTTTTCCATCCACATCCAACGTCCCGTTGATAGTTGCCGGCATACGGCTTCGCCACTTTGAAAATCGGGCACTCTCTGTCCAGCTTTCAGAATGCTTATTCTAGCGTTTAATGCCCAGCACCCCGCAAAACGGCACTGCTTGGAGGAGGAGCGGTTCTTTGCCCGCGAGCAATCCTGTTTGACATAAGCTAGACCAGGAAAAGTCTGAGCTCCTTTGCTTGGTAGAGACTCTTTGTGTTGAGCGCAAATGGTGCTCAACGTAGAAGTCACAAGTACTCAATACCTGTCTCGGGGTGATGTCGGGGGGGTTCAACATACCAGTTGTCCGAGGAAGGTTGGTTGTCAGTCCCAAACTCCAATCGTATTGCCTTCGGAGACTTCTCAATCGGACTGGCATACTCTATCACGATCCGAACACAGAGGCTTTTTCCCTTCCATGGGGCTTTTTAGAGGACACTTTTCAGTGCGTCCGCTTCAACCACCATGGATAACAAGGTCATGGAGATCGTCATGGTCTTTCTGGCACGATTTTTATCGCATACCCAAATATCCTGAACCCCCCCCCCCGGCTTTTACGACTGTGGATATTCTGGGGGCAAGACATTCTCGCAGCAATCGGAAGTCCCGTTAACAAGACCCAGAATGGGCACCATTGCTCTGGGCAAAAGTGACGGGAGCGACACCGTATTGTGAGTGACAGAACATGAGTATAGATCCCAAAGTCGTCTCAAACAATCATATTGCTGTCGCAGAGGGCCCATCCTTGGTGACAGTGCTTTTCTTAACGCTTCTTCCTCGCACCACCTCGGCTTCTGCAGGCTCGGTATCTTTGAATTTATCGGCGGCACCCATCATCGTAGTCCTGGGCTTCTTATAGGTAAGTTCGAAGGGGATGTCATTCGCGCACCCTGACCGCTCCTTCTTACAGCTTTTCGGCAGATACCATGCCAATCACGGGTTGATTGGTACCTCATTTGGTCTCTCCGGTTCCGTCTGAGGATGCGGGAATCTCCTGGCAGATGTGGAGTAAATGAAGAAGCCGGAATGGCGGCATTGCCATCCCCATGCTCGTGGTTCAGCATCTTCATTGGCAGACTCTTCTTTCCATTGAACTGAGACATTCGGTCGATTCGCCAGCGGCCTGAGATCTCGCAGTGAACATGACTTTCGGTGGCTATCTGTCGACGAAAGGCGACATAACTCATGTCAGGATTGAAAATAGGCCACGACCTTGTTCGTATATTCACTGCCATTGAGTTGAGCAGACTCGTGGTGCGGAACCTCCACGATCCCTCGTCCTCTTGCTTCCCATCTACGTCCGCAGACTCGTACCACCGGCGCCTATACCGACGCGATTTGCGCAAAACATTGCCCAGAGGTGCTCAGGATTGGTGCTCCGAAAGGTCGAGGACTCTGCTCTACCGTAGGGTCATACGGTAAGACTGGAGATGGGGAGGGGCTTGAGAAGGCTGATCCCCGTAATGGTCGACGTGCCACAATGAGAAGCTTTTGACTGGGGGTGATGAGAAGGCGAGCACTCACATTATCGACTGGTGTTGTTGTATTGTGGACTGAGCTGTCCAAGACCCTGAACTCCCGTGCGAAAGCAAACCTCCCAATTCAGGCCCGAAGTGCTCCAGCCATACTTCAGCCCTTCTCGAATCTCTGGGAATTTTCCGCCCCCCATCACCTCTTCCCGCAAAGGTTTTGCAGCTGGGGGTTGGTGGTATTGTGATTGGTAGAGCTTCTCCAAATCAATGTATACGTCGGTGTTTGACTTGCAGCCCGATGAGGAGAGAACTCCGCGTCAGACAAGTCTCATTTTTTTGCACCACATGGAGAGAACATGCATCTCATGCACCTCGTGGCGGGACCTGACTTCAACCCCGACCTAGAGCGTTCCCGTCAGACAAAATCTCACTCGTCGTGGGTGAAGCTGGCCCAGAGCCCGGCAGTTGCCCCTCTCCTTCGGCGTCTTTTTACCGTCTTCAAAATCTATCGTCCGGCCATGTACCTTCCTCAACACATCAAATTGGAAAGCGAGCCGCAAAGAAAGAAGGAAAAGAACAGAGACAATAAAATAGAGCGGCCACCGTCAATATTGTCGCTCTCGTCTCTCAAAGCATCCATCACCCCCCGTGAAGCCATCAAGCATGGGATCCCTCGACTCGTCGTCGCTAATATCGGGCCTCGCCCACGTCAACCTCACTGTTCCGGTCGGTACGCTCGACCAAGCCAACGAGTTCTACGGGACAACCATGGGTCTCACGCCCCGCGCGGTCCCGCATTTGCAAAAGGGCACTCTAGCGTGGTTTGACATTGGCTCGTCGGGTCAGCAGGTTCACATCGCCTTTGGCGCACCCTCGGATTTTGAGAAGACTTCATCGAGGCACCCGTGCTTTAAGTTGGCGTCCCCGGAGGCGCTTTTGCAGTTGAGACAGAGGATCTGGGAGCATTTCATCAGAGGAGGCGAGGCAGCGCCGACCGAGGCGGATAAGCCCGGAGAGGTCAATTCTGGTACGTCTTACTCAATTACTGCTCTTGTGGTGCTTGTATCTGGTGATTCCTGTGATGTTCTGGAATGCTGTGGACTAATGCTGCTGATTGCTGCCAAAGGAGCCCAAGGCGTGGAATATCCGCAACGCTTCTTCGCCAGAGACTACGCTGGGAATAGACTGGAGTTCAGCGTATAGACCTTTGGATCCATCACTCCACTGCGTCCGGCCAGAGAGCGGTGAGGAGCGGCGAATTGAGGCGATACAGGAAATGGCCCTCAACAACAAAGACTCGGGGTGGGAGCCAAAGGCCCTGAAATGTCGTCCCCTTAATGCCTGTGGACACCATATCACGGAGGCAGTGGCAGTACGTTCAGCATCACTGCATCAGAGGAAGGGGAATCGCGTGGGCGGCTGGAGGAACATGGTAAACCGGCATTTATCTCACATTCTCTTATGACCAATGTTTTACCGTCTTATCAATCACCCATTTGTGCCTTTTCCTTGCATGGCCCTGGTCGATACAGCAAACGAAGTGAATCCGGCTGCGCATCTATTCGGAGTCGTCGTTTCATCCGTCATTCTGTCTTTACGCAAAGCATCGAATGGGGCTGTATTCAAGCATGTCCACAGCACATCAAATGTGTCTGAATGTGCGCAAAGCAGAGCAGATCGCGCCTTCGACCATCCTTCTGCTCCATTCATTCGCCTTCAGTGTCTAATGCTGCTGCTGCTTCTGCTGCTCCCGTTATGTCCCCGGCCACAGCAAAAAGCAAGTTCCCCCCTTTCCCTCGAAGCAAAGTCTTGTGAAGAAAAGAGACAGGTGCCACTTCCACTAAAAAAAAAAAGGCCCCTTTGCCGATGGTTTCCCCGTTTCTTGTCTGGTTTCGTCAAAAGAGGCCACCGGACTTCCTTGTAGCAGGTACAGCAGAGTATGCTTTCTTGCGGGGTTGCTGTGTGGGCGCTTTCTTGGTTTGAACAGAAATCGAGCTCGTTTGTGTGTGTGTGTGTGTGTGTGTGTGTGTGTGTGTTTGGGGGGTGGGGGTTGGAGATTTATGCCGCCCGGCGATAGACAAACTAATGGACCATCCTCCCTGCGACTTTGCTCTGCCCTCAATATGAAAAAGCCATCCGCCCGTCCACGTCCATTTCCACACCACTAACCTGTCCCCTCCCCATCTTCAAGCCCTCCACGCCATCGCCGTTGCTGCTGTAGTGGTGGGCGAGGGCGCGGTGGTGGGTAGAAACGACTCGCTGGGCCCGCTACCCACATCGGGCCACTTCCTGTGCCACAGATCGCAGTTCGGATCGAGCCAATTGCCCGAACAGTTGGCGATTTGCACGCTATACATTCCACAGCCGGTCAGCCAGAAATTGACACCGCCAAAGTAGTGGCTGTTCCACTGGCACTTGTCGATGACATGGCGGAGACCGGCGCGGCACTGGTCCTGCTGGACGTCCAGGTCGCACTGTGCCTGAGTGCCGGACACATACGTGACATTATCGATGACTTTGGGGTGCCAGCGCACGAGGCGAGCCGCGAGTATGACCCCTGACAGTTCGGTGAGGGTGTAGTTTGGCACCGTTGCCGCGGACGCGGTGGTTAGACTGGCGTTGTTGGTGTCGTCGGCCGTGACCGGGATGAGGTCCGTTGGATACTCATTGGCGTCGAATTCTTGGCCTACATCGTAGAGAGTAAAGATGAGCCGGAGAATAAAAAACACAAAATGAAAATGGAGTAAAATCATAGCGCAAGAGGACAGATGAGCCTCCAAATCAGAACAGGCGATGTCAAGGATGCCACGACCGAAGAGAATGAATGCTACGGTCAAGGTGGTAAAGGGGCATGGCTGGAGATAGTGTACCTTGGGCGGGCAGATTCCCCGGCATATAAGCTTCATCACAGAACAGATCCGCTAGCTGGGTCGCCGTTGGAGGGTCGATATACCAGTCACCGCCCCCGGTGGCGCAGACCGCAAATGGTGTGTATACTTCAGTGGTTGTGGATGGAGTTGGCAGTGTTGTCGACCTGAAGGTGGAAGTCGTGGTGACGGCAATTTGAGCCTGGACTGAGGAAGTGAATATGTAGAGGCCGAGAAGGACGAGGATCTTAAAGCGTTGGGTGGCCATTGTAGTCGCTGTGAGGTAAATGCGATCTCAACGGAATGGGTAAGCAGTATTGAGGCGAGCAGGTGAGACGGGGTTGATAGTGGATGGAAGTGACTCGAGATGGCCTCGAAAGTCAAAAAACAACCTGTAAAGGCGGAAGAAGAAGGAGGAGTGTGAGAGAGGTGAACGATGGAAAAACCCGAGTTTTTATACATAGATATATTAGGTCAGCGTCAGCCAAGGAGCTGAAGATGAGAGCGAGAGAGATAAAGGGAAAGTCAGGGGCGCCTTTGGAAGAGTACAAGGCGTCCGGCAAATGTATTGTCAATAATAAGTTTCTTTTTCCCTCCGCAAGGCGCTTGATGTGGGAGAGCCGAAGTCTCGTGGGACAGGGACTCTACGGTGACACAGGACAGGACGCTGGTACCCAATGTCAACAGGAAGCAAACAATTGCCAGACCTCGAGAAGGAAAGGGAGAAGAAGTGGCTTGAGCTCTGATATCGGCATTCGAAGGCATATTGACGGCATATTTGGTGAGCTCCGTCGAGAATAGTCTCCACAAGTTTGATGGCGAGTTTGGAATGAGGTGGAGGGGGAAACGACATTCGGTCAATGATCATATCAGCCTTTGTCCGCCGAGTTACCCGACGGTTGAGATTGTCCTCCAGCCTCGGGGCCGGGAGCAAAGAACTTGCGCATTTCCTGCGCAACAGGGTCCCAGGGTACATGAACCTGGGCATTATGGGCCGACGTTGCCTGAACAGTGGTAAACATTGACTTTCAAAGTCTGGAGGAGATAGGGGAGTCCCGGTTCTGGTTCAGCAACCACTCGACACCGCTGACCAGTTTGTGAACCCATTTTCTGTTAATTGACAGTTGCGGGTACATGGACCACCAGAGGTGCGGTACGCCAGGGTATATTTCCACCTTTGCTCGGCCGCCTGCCTCTTTGATCCTGTCGCAGTAGAAAATCGCGCTGTCTCTCCAGATGTCCATCTCGGCGACCTGGTAGAACACCGGGCCCAGCCCGGCGAAGTTCGTCTGGGTCAAGGGAGTAACCAAAGGATCGTGAGCGTCAAAATCCGATATTTCTGTATCCCAGCCGTGAGTTTGTTTTCTCCTTCCCGGTCATGGAACAAAATATGAGGGGCTTTGCTTACGGCCATAGAGGATGTTCATCTCCCGAGTTGCGACCGGGCCGTTCTTATACCTTTCCCAACTTCCATTTAACAAGTGTTCTGGGAAGAGGACCTTGGTGTTCCCTTTCCTGTCAATATAGCTATGTGGCATGCCGGTACACATGAAGAAATGCCCTGTTAGCGGAGGCTGTAACTTGTCGTCTCTTGCGAGGATGGTAGCCATGCAGGTCAAATTCCCCCCTCCTGACGCGCCGCCGGTGAGGAAGCCCTTGGACAGGTCCCCACCAATGGTCGTTGAGTTGACCGATACCTATCACTGTTCAGTCTAAGCGGGGGGCGGTGTATGGGCCACGCACCCATTTAATGACATCGTAAGTATCGTAGACGCCAGTAGGATATGGCCATTCCGGGGCGAGGCGATATGCGACACTGACGATAATAATCCCCAACCTCATACACAGCAGCTGACAGAGGAACTCCTCGGTGTCCAGTCCGCCCATGCACCATCCCCCACTGTGCGCATACACCATGACGGGCCGGGTCTCAGAATGTGACTTGGGACGATAGATCCGAACCGTGACCGAATGTCCATCACGAACGGCCACCGGCCTGTCTTCTTCCATCCAGAGGACTTGGCTACCCAGCGTCTCTTTGACGAAAGGGCTCTTCATAAATCGGACGTTACCTTGAGCGTGGATCTGACGCGTTGCAGGCATCTTGTCAATCCGAGGCAGGAAGAATTTCGGCATCCCCTTTTCCCTCCATATCTAAAATAAGGACATTGTTAGGGGGACGTCGATATGTGTCTCGTTGATGGCTGTACGCACCGCAGCAAGCTCGGGGTCCGTCTCTGGGGGGATAGTATTTCCATCGTCGGCCATTGTTGGTAATGTTGCGGTCAGTTCTTTTAATTCAATGCCATTTTTGAGAAGTGGTTCCGCTGACCGGAGGGATTCTCAAGCTGGTATTTATCGAGCCGAGATTGGCGACAATGGATCTGTCCACGGATTTATATAAGCTGACCAGTTGACGCGGCTCTTGACTCGGGAGAAGTACAAGAACAGGCATCGTGGTTGGCTGTAGAGCAACCTCACCAGCGGACTTGGGACCCCTTTTTGGTGGGACATAAGACGAGGTGGCCCAAAATAATGTCCGTAGCCCCGAGAGCAATGGTTGAAATCCCACCTGCCCATTCTACTGGGTACATAGGTACTCCTTACCCGTCCGTTAGATAAGGGCCCACGTCCACTGTCAGACATCTCTCGGGTGCGCAGGGGTCAAAGTCACGCCGGTAAGACGACAGTGCGGTGTAAACGGAAACGCGGCGCCCTTCCTCTTGAGACCCATGGAGCAGGCTATGACGACCGAGGGCTAATAGCATCAGATATGTGTTGTATACCTGTATACGTACGTCCAGAGATTCGATATGGCGGGTGGATGTCTGGGTCCTTGTCATGCGCGAAACCCCCCAGCTTTACTCGGCCTTCGCGAGCTCGGTACACCGAGCAAGACCGAGGCAGAGGACCAGACAGCGATGTCACATGACAGCCACACTAGGCTATTCTAGGACTAGTTTGGGATGCCTGAAGCACTTCGTTTTCCTGTACCTCGTAAGTCGATTCCCTGCAACTTTCTCATCTTCTTTCTCAGATACAGAGGCAGATACTGCATAGATAATGTTTTGCTACTGCTATGGTTATTGCGACCACTTCTCCCGGCTTGCTAGCTAGATTATGTCAGCTGGGTTGTTCAATTGGCCCCAGCATTACCTGCAGCTCGCATTGTAACGTAACTCCCTGCTGAATTTCAAGCCTCGGCTGTTTGAACGGCGTTGGCCCCAATCCGTCTGGTGCTTGATCCACCGGAATCGCGAACCTTCTAATCACAGATTTTTTGATGACAGCATCTCGTCAATTGTTCGGCTATTGATAATTGTATATCTGCTGGACCTTTCCTCAGACAGGGTCTGCGATGAGAATTGTTCCCCGAATTCTTGCATTATAAACGAGTTGGACCGCTGGGTGAGACTCTGGGCCGAAAGAGACAGACACCGACAAGATGGGCAGTGCTGAGCAGGATGTCGAGCTCAAAGACTTCCAGAGCATATTCAGCCTCGAGGGGAAGGTCGCTGTCGTGACTGGCGGTTCCCGAGGATTGGGCCTGAACGTTGCCTCCGGGTAAGCTAGACAATGCATTCCCCGTCCATGTCTCAATGCACTGATTCCTTGGTCAATAGATTCCTCCAAGCTGGCTGCTCCAAAGTCTACATTACCTCCCGAAAGGCCAAAGCATGCGATGAAGCCGTCGCCGCTCTCAATGCTCTTCCCAACAAGCGACCCGGCGCTGTCGCCATTTCGATTCCCGCAGACTCCTCCAAAATTTCAGAGATTGAACGTCTGGCGGCCGAGGTCGCAAAGACGACCGATCACGTCGATATCCTATTTGCAAACGCCGGCGCAACGTGGGGAGCCCCGTTCGAAACGCACCCCGAAAACGCTTTCAGCAAGGTCATGGATCTGAATGTCAAGAGCGTGTTCTACACTGTTCAGAAGTTCGCGCCACTACTACAGAAGCGAGCGAGCACAGAAAACCCTAGCAGAGTCATTGTGACTGCAAGTATCGCCGGCATCGGGGTGGGCTCGCTTGGAGAAAATGCCACATATGCATATAGTGCATCGAAGGCGGCCGCCATTCATCTCGCGAAGAACTTGGCCGTCGAGCTAGGCCCGAGAGGAATCATCACCAACGCGATCGCCCCTGGCTTTTACCCTACCAAAATGGCGTCGGGGCTGATGGAACTGCAAGGTGGGCAGGCCGCGTTGGCTGCCGAAGTACCAAATAAGAGGCTTGGTCGTCCTGAGGATATTGCCGGATTGGTGGTGTTTTTGAGCAGCAGAGCAGCGTCCCACATCAATGGTGCTGTCATCACAACCGACGGGGGCTCTGTGCTCTCACGGGGCAAGCTATAGAGAAAATAGACTCGATCTAAGAACATATTCTCTGCGCTTTTCGCTCTGAACGCCGCTCTGAACGCAAATTCGTCGACAACACCAAAGTTATCGCTCGACAGGCGTCAATCTGATCATGAGCGGCTGAAGCTTCCATAGAACCTGTTCTAGATATCAGCAGAAACATGACGTCCACGGAAGAGACACTCACGTAGAACCTGGCATCCTCGACCCATGTAGGATGGTCTCCATCAAGCTCCATATCAAAATGCCAGAGCACCTTGGCTAGGACGAGCCGTGCTTCGGTGAGAGCCACCCTGGTCGAACATCAGCCAAAGCACAAACTGCCAAAAGAACAGACAAAGAAATCTTACTGTTTGCCAATACAGTTTCTAGGCCCCAGGCTGAATGGCTTGAGAATCTCATCGGCCTGTAATCCGGACGGCCCCTTGTCTCCCATTTCATCGAGCCACCTCTCTGGCCGGAACTCCCTGGGTTTGTCGAACAATCGCCCCGACCGACCCATATGCCACTGGCCCATTGAGACGTAGGTCTGTGGACACAATTTTGATCGTCAGCGGACGGGTGCTTATGGAGCAAAAAAGAGGTTGGACGACGATGGGCGGGTGGCCAACGACTTAACTTACTCCTCCTGGAACGACTTCGCCGGCGATCAGATGTCCTCCCTTCGGCGTGGTCCGGGGCGTGATGTAGCTAGCGACGGGGAAGATCCTCAGCGACTCGTCAATGGTCGCCTTCAGGTAGGGCAAGTTCGAGGTTGCTCTGATGGTGATCTCCCGACTGCTCGCGAAGCTCCGGCGGATCTCGTGTTGGAGCTTCTTCATGACGCGCGGCGTCTTGCAGAGGTGATAGAACGTCGCACTCAAGCATGTGCTCGTCGTCTCGGCGCCTCCGCCAACAATGAGCACGGAA